TGGAAGAGGAGAAGCCAGGACTAGAACCAGCGCCCATTTAGGATTCCAACACCCCAGGCACAGGATTAACCTACTGCGGCATAGCATTGGCCCCAATAGTATGTAGTTCTAATCTATAATGTTTTATGTAAATAGCATGTTCTCACTTGTCAGACATGACCAGTGTAGATAATAAATAAACTTCACATCTCCTATTGAATGTTGTATACATCTTGGGAGAAAAAAACCACAACGAGATATAACTCACATGTCCAGATTAGCTGTAATTTTTAAATATATAATAATACTGAACATTGGAAATGCAGAAATTAGACTATTACACATTACTGATGGTTACATAAAATGACATAGCCACTTACTAGGGCTACAGCGTGACATTTCAATACCTGTATACAATATGTCCCCTCGAGTCTTGGGCTGAACACTTCTAATTTTTGTATTCAGAAGCAAGACTTCATGAGAACAGGCAAAGAGCAACTAATGGTAGAAGTCAAAAGCTGAACAATTCCTGTAGCTCACACAGGCTGGGTTATACTCAAGTCCTGACAAGCCAAAATGAAGACTTGGGGCTGGTGCTGTGGCACAGTAAGTTAAGCCTCTGTCTGCGGCTCTGGCATCCTATATAGGTGCCAGTTTGAGTCTCAGCCGCTCCACTTCCAATCCAGCTCCCCGCTAATGGTCTGCGAAAGCAGCACAAGATACCTCAAGTCCTTGAGCCCCTGTACCCACCAGGGAGACTTAGAAGAAGCTCCTGTTTCGGTATCGCCCAGTCCTAGCCAACATGGGCATTTGGGGAGTGAACCAGCGGATAGAAGACCTCTGTCTCTGTCGGTAACTGTCTCTCAAATAAATAAATAAATAAATCTTTTTTTAAAAAAATGAAGGGGCCAGCACTGTGGCATAGTGGATGAAGCCACCGCCTGCAGTGCTAGTATCCCATATGGGTGCTGGTTTGCGTCCCGGCTGCCCTACTTCCAATCCAACTCTCTACTTTGGCCTGGGAAAGCAGTAGAAGATGGCCCAAATCCTTGGTCCCTGACCATTATGGGAGACCCTGAAGAAGCTCCTGTCTTTTGGATCAGCACAGCTCCAGCCATTGGGGCCATCTGGAGAGTGAACTAGCGGATGGAAGATGTCTTTCTTTTTCTCTCTCTGCCTCTGCCTCTTAGTAACTCTGCCTTTCAAATAAAATAAATATTTTTTTAAAAGATTTACTTTTTGGCCAGCGCTGCGGCTCACTAGGCTAATCCTCCGCCTGCGGCGCCAGCACACCGAGTTCTAGTCCCGGTCGGGGCGCCGGATTCTGTCCCGGTTGCCCCTCTTCCAGGCCAGCTCTCTGCTGTGGCCCGGGAGTGCAGTGGAGGATGGCCCAAGTGCTTGGGCCCTGCACCCCATGGGAGACCAGGAGAAGCACCTGGCTCCTGGCTTTGGATCAGCGCGGTGCGCAGGCTGCTGCGGCCATTGGAGGGTGAACCAACGGCAAAGGAAGACCTTTCTCTCTGTCTCTCTCTCTCACTTTCCACTCTGCCTGTCAAAAAATTAACAAAAAATTTACTTTTATTTTTATTTGAAAGACAGTGTTACACAGAGTAGAGACAGAGAGAGGGAGAAAGGTCTTCCATCTGCTGGTTCACTCCCCAGATGACCACAATGGCTGGAACTGTGCCGATCTGAAGCCAGGAGCCAGGAGCTTCTTCTGGGTCTCCCACACGGGTGCAGGGGCCCAAGGACTTGGGCCATCTTAAAAAAAAAATCTTAAAAAAAAAAAAAAGAGACTTGTTGAATATCTGAAGTATTTGGTAGAAACCCAAAAAGTAATAGAGCTAAATAAATCCAAAGTAAAAGTCATTCTAGACCTTCTAAGCAAACAAAACAAAACAAACAAACAAAAAAAAACAAAACAAACAAGTCCTAAAAGGATTAATCTGATTTGCAAATAATTGAATTGTATATCAAAACTAAACTCAATACTTCTTATGGGAAAAAAAAAACTAAATATTCAACAATATTCAAAATGCCCAGCAGCTAATAAAAAGTTACTAGAGGGGCCGGCACCGTGGCTCACTTGGTTAATCCTCCGCCTGCGGCACTGGCATCCCATATGGGCTCCAGGTTCTAGTCCTGGTTGCTCCTCTTCCAGTCCAGCTCTCTGCTGTGGCCCAGGAAGGCAGTGGAGGATGGCCCAAGTGCTTGGGCCCTGCACCCGCATGGGAGACCAGGAGGAAGCACCTGCTCCTGGCTTTGGATTGGCGCAGAGCGCTGGCCGTTGCGGTCATTTGGGGAATGAACCAATGGAAGGAAGACATTTCTCTGTGTCTCTCTCTCTCTCACTGTCCAACTCTGCCTGTCAAAAAAAAAAGTTACTAGAAATATGGAGAAACAGGAAAATGTAATGCAAACCAGGAAGAAAAACAATGCACAGATACCCAAGAATAGAATAGAAATACCCAAGATAGAAATGATGAAATTAGCAAAGACATTAAAACAGGTATTATTAATATGTTCAAAGATCTAAAGAAAAACAGGAACATGATGAGCAGAGAGATAGATAAAAAAAACAGATTTTCTCGAGCTACAAAGTATAATATCTGAAATTTTAAAATTCTCAAGATGGGATTAGACACTCACTGCAAATTAGAACTTTAGACACTGCAGAAGATAAATGAAGTTGAAGACAGAAGAAACTAAAGCACAAAGAATAAAAAGACTAAAAATTTTAAAAGATCCTCAATGTCTGTGAGACAATATTATATGTAATCTTAAATGCATATAACTAGAATCCCCAAAAGAGGAAAAAGAATATTTGTAGAAATATGGCACAGGGGCCAAAAGTTGTGGCACAGCAGGTTAAGTCACCACCTGTAATGCTGGTATCCCATATCACAGAGCCAGTTCAAGTTCCAGCTGCTCTGCTTCTGATAGAGCCCCCTGCTAATGCACCTGGAAAAGCAGTGAATGATGGCTCAAGAACTTGGGAACCTGCCACTCACATGGGAGACTCAGATGGAGTTCCTGGCTCCTGGCTCCCGATTTTGGTTTGGCCCAGCCCCACCACTGCAGCCATTTGGAGAGTGAACCAGTGGGAATGGGAAGTGGAGCAGCCAGGTCTCAAACTGGCGCCCATATGGGATGCCGGCACTTCAGGTCAGGATGTTTACCTGCTGCGTCATAGCACCGGCCCCTCTAACTCTGATTTTAAAAATAAATAAATAAATCTTAAAAAAATTAACAGTACCTTCAAGAAACAAAAAAAGTTAACCTAAAGTTCTGTACTCAATAAATATCATTCAAAAATGGTAAGGCTGCAGTTTGTGACAACTGACATCCCATATCAGAGTATGAATTATAGTCCTTGCTACTCTGCTTTTGATCCAGATCCCTGGGAAGGCAAGTACTTGGGCCCCTGCCATACATGTGAGAGAGACCAAGATGGAGTTCCCAGCTCCTGGCTTCAGTCTGGCCCAGCTCCAGCTCTTGCAGACATCTGAGGAGAGAACCAGTGGATAGAAGATATCTCTCCTTCTCTCTCTCTCCCTTCTCTTTCACTCTGCCTTTCACGTAAATAATTTAATAAATTTTTAAAAACAAAAGATGAGCATAATATTATTAAAAAAGATGATTAATAATTTCAATGTGTACACACCTAGTAACAGAACTTCAAAATATGTGAAGCAAAACCTGACAGAAATGAAAGGAGAAACAAACAAATCCATAATCACCAATGAAGATTTCAACATTCCTTTCTTAGTAACTGAAAGAATTTTTGGATGAATCAAAGAGACTAGGGAAGACTTGAATAAAAAAGACCAATTTGACCTAATAGACATTAGAATGCCACACTCAACAACAGAATACAAATTTTATTCAGGTACACATGAAACATTTACGAAGAAACAATATGAAATATGTTCTCTGATCACCAAGGAATTAAATTAGAAATGAGTAACAAAAAGGTATCTGGAAAATTCCCAATATATTTGTATATTAAATAATATATTTCTAACAATCCATGGTTAGAGAAAACATTACTGGGAAAATCAGAAAATATTTCCAGATAAATGCTAATTAAAACACAACATATCAAAGTGTGTGGAGTTCAGTTAAAGCAGTCCTTAAAGAAAATTTTAGCTTTAAAGACTTACAGAAAGAGTAAGTTATAAAATCAATCATGTAAGCTTCCACTTTAAAGCGTCTAGAAAAAGAGCAAACTCAACCCAAAATAAACCAGAGGAAGGAAAAAACAAGAACAGAAATCAAGGTAGTAGAAAATGAATAATAAATCAAAAGTTGGTTTTTTGAAAAGAAAAAAAATAGAAAACCATTCATTAAATGACTGTCGCTCCCCCTCTTCGTGGAGGAGCAACACAGGACCCTGCGCTGTTCTTTCGTCTGCTCGGCCCTCCCCGGGTTTGCTGCTGGTTCTTCCCGGGTTGGCTACTATCCCTTCCACCTCCGTGGAAGGGCAGTTCCCCCTGGCCGCATTCCCCACTTCCGCAGGGGAGCAGCACACCGCCGGCCGGCTCTCTGGGGGCTGCACGGGTTCCCTTAGATGTTCCCCATAGATGTTCCCGGTGCATGCCGTCTCTCTCCTCCTTTATAGTCCTCCTCCGCCAATCCCAACTCGGCTGCCCACACGCCGAGTACGCTGCTCTCCAATCAGGAGCAAGTCCTACAGTTTATTAGTTGAACTGGAGGCAGCTGTGCGGAAGCTGTTTACTTCTCTCCCAACGCCATGTTGTGGGAGAGCAGATGCATAGAATAAGTCTTAATTTCAGTAACTTAGTCCAGTCCGGATTGCTCCCCACAGATGA